AGATGGGTCAATGACCAAGAAAGGTCTTAACGTAAGGAGCAGGCTGTTTAGAGGGGATTTGAAGACACACAATGGGCCAAAGCAACCTTTTGCATGCTGTAAAAACTCTATGACTACAATATTACCACTTCTAAGTCTTTCAAATATATATCATGTATACAAACATTTGCATTGTAGCAAGGTTGCTATAAGCTTCTTAAATAATATTATCAATAATGATTTAAAATAAACATAAAGCATTGTGCAATGAAACCTCCAGCAACAGATGGCAATTGTGAGGAAGGGCACCAAGCAGGGAAGCTGGATCAGTCGAACGGACTTTCCCTGGAGGATAAGGGTATTTTGGGGAATGAGGCCTCAAAGGGAGAAGGATCAGAAAAAGGATGTCCTCAAGCAAATGTAAGCCACAGACTTGATCCCACATAAAAAAGGTGTCTTCATTATTTGACATTAATTTCCCTTCATGTTTGTAATGACCTGATATCAGCAGAATAAAGAATCTTTGCTTTGTGATCTTTGAGATGTCCATGTATTTAAATCTCCTGTTAGATTTAGTTTTGAATAAATGGTTCAAAGAATCTTCTGTACTTCCTGTAACTAGTTCTGTGACTCCAACTTAATTTTCACAAAGAACAAAAAACAAAACTAACCACAAGTAGCATTATCAAAACCAGTCTGAGACCAGTCTTAGAGATTCAAAGTTTATCCCAAATGCTTACAATTCCAAACCAAGCAGCAGTGATCTCATCACAGTATGATTCATGTTTGATGGACACCAGGCTTTAACACCTCAAAACATCATAAAAACCATCACAAGAAGCTTAAAAATGTACTTTTTGGGAAATCTAATGCAGGAGGGAAATATAAACAAATGGAAGAACTCTTAGTTGCATCAACATACAGAGGGATCTAGGTATACAGGTCCACAGTTTCTTGAAAGTGACAATACAAATGGATAAGGTGGTCAAGAAAGCATATGGCATGCTAGCCTTCATCGATGGGGGAATACAGTATAAATATTGGCAAGTCATTTTGCAGCTGTATAGAATTTTACTTAGGCCACACTTGGAATATTGTGTATAGTTCTGGTCGACACACTTCCAGGAGGATATGGAACCTTTGGAGAGGGTACAGAAACAATTCACCAGAACGTTGTCTGGTTTTGAGGGTATTAGCTAAGTGGAGAGATTGGACAAACTTGGTCTGTCTTCACTTGAACGTTGAAGGATGAGGAGCGACCTGATGAGAAGTTTACAAAATTATGAAAGGCATGAATAGAATGGATAGCCAGTCTTTTTCACAATGTAGAGCTGTCAGTTAATAGTGGCCACATGTTTAACATAAAAGGGGTAAGTTTAAAGGAGATGTGGGAGGCACGTTTGTTGCACAGAGCATTGTAGGTGCCTGGAATGTGCTGCCAGTGGAGGTGGTGGAGTGAGATACAACAGTAACATTTAAGAGGCATCTTGACAGATTTTTGAATATGTGGGGAACAGACAGATGCAGACAGCAGAGAGGCAAAAGGATTTTAGTTTAGAAAGGCATCATGTGTCGGTGTTGGTAGGCCAAAGACCCTGTTCCTCTGTTATACTGTTCTTTTTCCTTTGTACTCTGCAGTAATGCTCTTTGCAATAAATACATTAAACACTAATCCTCCCCCACCCCCTATCCCAACACCTTATTTCTGAAAACTCACGGGTCTCGTCCTGCTGACAGGTTTGCCTTTATATATGCATTACATTTCCAACAGACATGCACAACTTTGATTATCCATTTAAAATTTTTATTCACAAATACAGAAACACCATAGATTACAAATTCAATGTCATCATTACATAGGGAGACATGCTTCATCTTAAATTATACATTCCATCAAGTTTTCTTACACTGATCATAATGATTTTCAATATTGTTGAATGTATAAAAACCACAATCATTTAAGCTCTTTGGAATTTGGATTTCCTCTTGTAAGCTCTTGGGGTCTCTGTTCAATTGCTGCCACCAGATTGATAATAGTCGTGATTTTATTTAGCACAAGCAAGAAGTAGGAGATGAGAGTACTTAAGCAGCAGTCTGCAAAGCACAACTGTGAATTATATTATCCCTTTGGGTAGAATCTGTGGACTTTTGTGTTTGGAATCTCTATAATATTGTCCATAATCATCCATCTGGGATCACTATTCAATGACTTAATTTCGAGTTGTCTACTTATTCACAAAACATTCCTGTCCACCCTTTATCATATATCTCCTGCATTTATAACCTCTCAGTCCATTCCATTTCCCTTGAGCCTGGGAGAATGAAACAGCTTGTGTGAGAAGCGCTACACTTGTATGTAACATTCAAGAGAACATGACTGTCTAAAGTGCATTTGATAGAAGTATTATAATTGCCATTTTCATGTTGTGATGCAACAAACAGCAATATTTTGCTTTTAGATGGCACACTCTGTAACTTTCCATTCATGCAGAAAAGTATCTGGATTATTTTTAGCACCAGTGAGACCAGAAGCTCAATTCCAGGGAAAGCAGCATTAATGCATCAAAGAATCGCATTCACACAGGTGTAATTATGGTATATAGCAAATAAATATTGTCTGTTTTTACAAACTAAACAGAAATTGCTGGAAAAGCTCAGCAGGTCTGGCAACAGCTGTGGAGAGAAAGCAAAGTTAATGTTTCGGTTTGAGTGACCCTTCCTCATAACTAGGCTTGCTGAGCTTTTTCAGCAATTTCTATTTTGTTTCTGATTTACAGCATCTGCAGTTCTTTCGGTTTTTATTGTCTGTTTTTATATTACCTCCAATCAAAAGTGATCTTTTCCCTTTGTTTTTGGTTACCGTTTGCTGGGTTTAAAACTTTCCCAATCCTCTGTCTTACGAATAATTTTTACTATATTGTATGTCTTCTAATTTGATACCATCCTTAAATTCCTTAAATCAAAGACTAAGCAAAAACTACATAATCTATAGAACAAATGTACACCAGGTAATCGATTCAAAAATTAGTTTTTGAAGAGTAGTATAAGCTGCACTATGACTTGTACCAAATGTTTCCACCTGGTGACTCTCATGACTAAATTTACACCCATGTATATATGGGGATCTTTGGAGGATGAGGTAGGGGCCCAGACAAAATTTCAATAACGCTGCACTCTAAAGGATGTTTAATGAATTTTTGTGGCGATCGTAGCAAGAGCTATCTGTGTTGCCATGAATTTCTTTCAGATATGGCATCAAGCACTTTGATATAATTTGGAGTATGGAGTGATCAAAAGGTGTGACTTCCTCCGCACTTACTGGACTTAGATTCATGCCCAAACACAGAGTGGAACACACACTGTTGTATCTGCTGTATGGTCTGCCAACTAACACTGAACTATACAATCTGGGTCTGTAGACTAAATCAAATTTATTAGTTTAGAAATGGTGAAAGGTAGTTTACACCCAATCTGTTTAAGTCGAGATTTGCAAGAAACTCTTACATGTTAAAAGCCATAAATACAAGTTTTTAATTATTGTTTTACAATGGGTACTAATATTGCTGCTTACAGAGAATTATAATAAACTCTATTTAAATAATGTCTTTTTATTAGCTCTTGCTGAGCAATGAACTGTTTTCCCCAATCGCTCTTTGTCCTGGCAATTGAAAATATTAGAAATCCCTTAAGTAACATTGTTATTGAGTACGGTAGTGTAGTGTTTATTTTACTGGCTTAGTATCTCAAAGGCCTGGTCTAACAATCCAGAGATGTGAGTTCAAATTCCACCACCACAGCTGGGAAATGTAAATTAGGTTAATGAAATATCAGTTATAGTGAAAACTCTAGATAGTTGTAAAAACCAATCTGCTTCATTATTATACTTTAGGGAAAAAATCTGTTTTTCTTACCTAGTCTGATCTATATGTGACTCCAGACACAGAGCAATTTGGTTGATTCTGAACTCTGAAATGGCTTGACAATCCATTCTGTTGTATTCAATGTTAGTGGCTCAACAGCATCTTCTCAAAAGGAAAGGAGAGGTGGGAAATGAATCCTGGTCTTACCAGCAATGCCCACATGCTGGGATTTTAAAGACATGCTTCACAATGTATTGTATGTTTTTGGCATATTAGTGAAACGTTTAGCAACTTTTATACTGTACTGACAGAGGTGCTTAATTATTTTTCTTGTCTTTGCTTTCTCTGTTCTGTGTGTCCCTATTAGTAATGTGGGTGGAAACTTGTACAAGAGGAGGAGGGTAATGAATATTGAAGTTTTTCCTCTCAAACCTTGTCCCATGCGGCTCCAAGTTACATGCTGTACAGTGGAATAATTGGAGCAGGTCTCCATAATTCTGTTGCTTCTTCACAAACTCTTTCTGTGCATTTGACTGGGCTTAGATCTCAGTGCCCCTTTTTCAGGCACTAGGAGCTCATTGCAATCGGCTTAGCTGTCCAGTTATCAGCATGACCAATCCTCCCTGCTCTTAGAGTGAGTGCAACTGTGCATCAAAGGCAATAAACTGAAAATGACCAATTCTACAGTGTGTGCTTGGCCACAATTTTGGAGTGCACTGTTGTTAAGGCTGGGACTATCTAAAAACTCTGCAACAGCTTTCTTAGTTAATGAATTTCAGTGCAAGAGTTATCATGAAAACTAAAATGTACACGTTAGCTGGTTTTGTTGACATGGATACTTTCTATCAAGCTGCCATTTAAATTCTTTATTTCTCCCTTGAGGTCGGCTGACCAATTCACTCTGTTGGTCAATGCCCATAGATTAACATCAACACCACAGTTCCTATTACTGTGTTATGGTTGCCCACTGGAAGGTGCACAGGCAAGGACATAATATACAAGTTTCACCAGTTGAGTTTGCTGACTGACACTATTACTCTAGCTACATATAAGAAGAATTTCCATTTAGCTGTAATACCTAAGGATTGCGAGTGTGAATCACCACCTTACGTTGAAATATAAAAATAAAAAGGAGGAAAAGAAGAATGGCGATTTGTAGATCTAAGACTTTGATTTTTTCTTACAATCAGGCTCCATCCTTCCCTTGTAGCAATGGCATTTGAACTGCTCTTTCATGCTTTTCACAGCTTCAGAATGGAATTCTCCTCGGGCTTTTAGTGCAAATTTGGCGGAAGTAACAGTGGGGATAATGTCAAAGCTTTTGGGATCAAGAAGTAGGTAAACTTTGGATTCAGGGTTTTTCCGTACACATCGTCCGTTGTTATTGCACAGAATCCTGCTGCACAATATGGCAGCTGTAGTCGTGTTTATAATGTATATTCCAAGTTTCTTGTCAATGTAGTTCTTTAACGCCTTACAGCGATTCTGATAAAAAAGTACAAATATTTGCAAAGGGAGTGTAAGATTTGAGTCAAAGCATTTTCAAGAAAACATAGTAAACTTTACAATGGATCGAGGTGCGCAAATAACTTTGCGTCATGAATGAGCAGCTCCCAATGGATTGTCTTGCACAGATGTCAAATGTCGGGTTGATTCGATATAACTGATAATATATGATAGTATGATCACCAAATATTATTTCCAGCACACAGCCACATTTTACATGTCCTCATTTGAATATGTTCACATGTATTCCACGCTGTAGGGATTCTATGATCTATGATCTATTCTATTTGCATTAAATACTCACTTTGGTACGTGAAAGGTCATTATTCCCCCACAAAACCACTCCAGAGGCTCCCATAGCTGCACTCTCTCCAATGGTGTGTACCAAATCAATCTGGGAAAAATATGGAAAAAGATGTTAATTACAGATTGGAAACAGTAGGTACTTTGGATTGGTTTCAACTCATTAGAATATCAAAATATTTCTTTTGTTACTTTACTGACGAATTTATGTTCTGGACCATACCAAAACTCCCTCAAAAAAGATAAAGGAGATAGCCTAGATCCTGACTTTATCTTATTTAAAGACAAATGTAAGGTGCTGAATTCCAGATGTGATTTGATTGGTCAAACAACTAGGTTTTAAGCAAAACACACTTTATTCTTGCACCACAGTTAAAATAGAAATACACAAAGAATTGGCATAACTTTAATTATTAACTAAATAATATAGTATTAAACTACTATTCATCAACTGTTCAAACATAGCAGCATCCCATAAACACACCCATTCTAAAGTCAAATTCAGCGAAACAGATTTCCTTCACTTGCAATCTTCTCTAGTCCAGGAAAAGGAACACTGAAGGATTGAATCTAGCAGCAGTAACAGAACTCAAGTTTTCACAGCAGCAGAGAGAGAACTGTATCGAGCAGCTTCACTTGAAAACCCCAGCTTCAACAAAGGAAAGCACTGAAAACTAAAACCCTGGGTCTATGTGAACCTGGCGCCACCCATTCATGCTTCTTTTTCCTAATTTTTAGAAAGCAAAGCCATTTACTCTTCTTTCCATGGAGCAGACACCTCGACACCAGGTTTACAATACTTGTTTTCAAGAGAAACAAGACAGAAAAAAATCCCTTTTAAAGGCACATCTTGTCATATTCACAACAGCACACATGAACCATCCAAAACGGAGAAGCCTCTTTATTCTCACTAAAGGTGATCTTGAGCCAGCTGATGGACAATGTTTGAAAGCACCTCAAGGTTAATTGTTTCTATGTCTCAACACATCTCATGTTCAGGTTAGACTGATATTTTCACAGTGAGGAGATGTCTCAGTGTGAACTCCACACCCTATTTCTCCAACAGGCAGACAAATGATCATCTTGCCAAAACCCTCCCTTTCTGACTCCTTCACAATGTTTTCCCCTTCCCTTCCTTAGTTTTGTCCATTGCCACAAACTATTACCTATCAGAACATCAGCAATTACATCGCACTTGGTATCTGTGAACATTGTGTTGACTCATGTGCTCAGTACTTGTGAAAGAACTGGAAGATTTCATTGTATCTCCACATGTACTGACAGCTGAGCTGTACACTACACTCCTGGTCACTTCCAGAATGAAATATTGGAAGTGATGGAGAGTAGTGTTGAGGGGAGGAACAGGTGGAAACGATTTTCTCTGGTGTAAAATTTTCTGACATGTTAAATTACTGTTTCAATGCGTTGCTCAAAAGCACTGATTACTCCAACAAGACTGACTTATTCCCTTGTCTTTTAGGTTTTGTGTATAATATTAAGGTTACCTTAATATTTAAATACTTTTGTAGAGCTATGCTATATGGAGCATCTTGATGAAAGCGTGAAAGAGCTTACAGTTTGTTTTAAAGGGTAGCTGAATGACAATGGCAGACATAAGGCAATATTTTATCATTGGTATTTCACCCTGCCGGCAGAACCAGGATTGGGTGGCAGTACCACTGTCTTCCTTCCTGCCAAATCCTACTGACTACTAACACAATTTAAAGGGGTGGTATTAGGGATGGGAGACACATGATTGATCGAGGTGATGGAAGTAGGGAGTGGCGAATGTTGATGTTAACCCACCATCACTTAACAGTGCATAAGGTTGGAGTAGAAATGGCTCCTTCAGGAACAGGGAGGCTCTGATGCACAGTCACTATTGACTGAAGACTTGATATAGTTTATTTGTTCAGTCACTTGATATTACAGAATGAATACTGCTGAAAAAATACACTGCCAAGTGGTTTCGTCTTGCAGTAACCAGGACAGATGCAAGAACTCCAAATCTGATTTATTTATTTTTTGGCATTTGCTGTTGGTACCCTTCTATTGTTGACCATCTCACACACCATCATTACCTCCTTTATAATTATTTTATGTTAAGCACACCCTTGACAGAAATCAAATTAAGACCTTCTCTGAGATTGGGAGGAGTGTGCGGCAAATCAGTATCACTGTGAATTAGACTGAGAGAGTAGACCTGAATAAGAAGTGCAGCAGCATTGGGAGATAAAAACCTACTGCAGAAAGCCCCTTCAACGTGTTTCTATCTGTCAGAGCTGAAGTGTGATATTACAGGAAAACAGGTAGATGAGAGGTGGGCATTTGTCCTGTCTCTCTTTTGATTGGCCACTTAGTTTAAATCAGGAGATATTATTATAGCTGAAGAGTATAGTTAGGAAGCTCGTTTTTGAAAAATAAACAAAATTAGTTAATTAAATAGAACTGAGATGGCTGGGTAGATGATGTGTTGCAGCTGTAGTATATGGGAGCATGTGGACACCAGTGTGATCCATATTGACCTCATATGCAGCAAGTACTGGCTGCTCAAGGAACTTCAGCTCAGCGCTAATGAGCTGCAGACACTGTGATACAGTAGGAAAGTGGAGAGGTAGTGAACACTTTCAGGAGACAGTCACACACCTTAGACTAGTGGATATGACAGGGGCAGGGTGGATATAACTGTGATTGAGACAGGTATGGGATCCAGAATTTGGCTTTGGAGGAGCCACGGAGAATGGTCTTGTGCAATGAGGGAACAATCTGCATGGAGGTGGAATGATCTGTTTAAAGCTCCGTGGTACAGAGCACTATCCAAGTGGAGGATAAAAGAGAAATGTACCAGTAATAGGGGAAAGCACAGTAAGGGATGGATACTGTTCTCTGCAGCAAAGACAGAGTCTCTCAAAGGCTGTGTTGTCCGCATGGTGCCAAAGGTAAGTACATCTCTTCTGGGTTGGAAAGGAACTAGAGTAGGAGGGGCAGGATCCAGTTCTAGTGGTCCATGTAGGTACCAGTTACTAGAAATTAAATTCTGCTCAGAAATTATAAGAAATTTAAGACTAAATTAAAAAGTAGAACCACAAAGGTAATAATCTCTGGTTTACTACCTGAGCCATGTACAAATTGGTGTAGGGTAAATGAAGGTGTAGGGCTATGATAAACTAGCATGAAAGAGGAGTTGAGGCCTGGGGAAGATCAACCATGGTCATAGGGAATGTTGGGGCAGGCTTGAATGGTCCACTTCTATTTCCTGCGAGCTGTCCTCCAATCTGCAGGGGAAGGTGAGAGATGCTCTTTGCTCAGTCAGCTTCAGAACCCACTGTTGGCCTGATCAATGAGGTGCAGAGAATGTGAGCAACTGTAGGATCATTGATGCAGACAAGGGATGAATGATCTGTTTTAATTTGCCAAATGTCGCTTTACATCTCAACAAAGTTTCTTCTGAGATCACCATTAAAGGTATCTCCCATTGAGCATTTATGAAAGGCAGGTGAATACTGTGAGCGCATGGGATTGAATCCAACCATGTTAGATGGTGATTTTTGAACTCAATAAATCTGGAATTTGAAAAAAAGCTAGTCTAATGGTGACCATGTAACCATTTATGATTGTTGCAAAACCCCATCTGTTTCACTAATATCTTTTAAGGAAGGAAATCTAGCATCCTTACCTGGTCTGGTGAATAAATGTCTCCAAGCCCAAATAATGTGATTGACTCATTAATGCCTTAAGAAATCACCAAGAGAACGAATCAGTTCAAGGGCAAGCGGAACCAGGCACCAAATTCCAGCCTTGTCAGTAATGTACACATTCCATGTAAGAACAAAAAACATTGAAGCCAAAATGTGTGGAAATTTGACTATTGAGTGCAGTAGAAAGCAATTCTTATTGACAGGCCTGTATGTGTGATGGAGATGCATACAGACAACTGTCTTGGGTATTTCTTGACATTTCAGTCACTCTGTTCTTTGGTCTTTCTGAGCAAATAGATGTATAATACCGATGGCCAAGCAAAGACTGGGAGTGGAGTGGCGAACAAAAGGATACAAATCCCAACATGGGAAGAGACTATCCAGCTCTCAGGAGTGGAGGGAGGGTGAGTCATTGCAGATAGTGAGGCTAGAAGGCGAGGTAATCATCCTGGTAGTGGAAAATGGGCATACAGGGGATATGCAAACTAATGTGAGGCACCCATTCTGTGATGATGTTTAAGATGGTTGTGTTTGTGCTCCACTACAAGTCATCATCATCCCTGTGACCAGGCAGGAGCCAGAAGACTCTGGGGATGATGACACCGATGCCCAAGAGGATGCACTGTCATCTGTCTCAATAGCCGCCTCCTTCAGTTCTATTACACCCACATGGTCAATGATGAGCTTATCTGTAGATCTGATATCACAATCTAATAAGGACAGCATGGACATGCCCCAGCAGCTGAGGGGCTAACGGCTGGGTCTGCTATGCTCGAAAGACTGCTGAAGACAGTCAACATGATGGCACAGTGGTTAGCACTGCTGTCTCACAGCGTCAGGGACCCAAGTTTCATCCCAACCTTGGGTGACTGTCTGTGTGAAGTTTGCACTCTCTCCCTGTGTCTGCATGGGTTTCCTTTGGGTGCTCTGGTTTCCTCCCACAGTCCAAAGATGTGCAGGTTTGGTGGATTGGCCATGGGGAATGCAAGGTTATGGGGATAGGGTGGGGGGTGGGGCTGGGACTGGGTGGAATGCTCTTTGGAGGATTAGTGCTGACATGATGGGCTGAATGGTCTCGTTCCCATGTAGGGGTTCTATGACAAGGTCTCTGCTGAAGCCTATGCTCTGACCTCTGGCCATGACCACAAGAAGCCTGCAGTACATGGAGCAAAAGTTAAGGAAACATATTTTGAAGATACCAGTAGTCATATGCAGCTTTGTGTGGGTGATTAAAATGCCTGTGAAAGCCATGTCCCAGGAACATGAGTGCACAGCACTATTAATAGAGAAGGTGGAGAATGCCATGGGGAGGGAAGGAGCAGTCTGATCACTCGATCATGATGTGCTCAGATTTTCATTCCATTGCTGTAGCATGGCTACAGTGCAACATTGGCTAGGTGAGAGGGGAACAATATTGAGACCCAGATAGGGTTTCTTTACAGCACACACCCCAGGATTAGTGACATCTCCCCATCCTCTCCAACATTGACCTCATTACCTTCAGCAAGCGGGGCCAAGAGGGATACACCCACACCAGAATAGGAGACCTCACCTCCTTACCCATCGGTCCAGCCCACAGGACCCTATTCCTCTGGATGGCACCTGCTGCAGTCATCGAAGATACTGGGGTGCAACACTGAGCAGATTGCCTCCATATAGGCTGCTGATGTTGGGATTGCACCAAGACATAGTAGTAGGAAACAAAAACTTCAGAAATTATAGACAATAGGTGGCATACGTGTTTTATACATGTGCATCACATGTAAATAGTGCAGAATATATTGTTTTTGTCGTATTTATGTGCAAATAATCTTCATTAGTTTGGGACTACATTAGTAAGAGGACTCAATGTAATGACACACCCATTGTTGGCATCCATTGATAGTTACAGAGGAGGTAAGGAGATTGCCTTTATTGTGGAAGAATGATCATTGATTGCTCATGTGAGTTTTCAATTTCGTTGCCGAGAATATGTAGGACATGGTTTATTGATCCTCCTTTCTGCGCACATTGTCTGAAACTACTATGAACAGGAATAATTGAAATTCTTTTCATTCATGGGCTGTGGGCATCATTGCCTTGTCCAGCATTTATTGTCCATTTTTTAGTTGACATTGAGAAGGTGGTGATGATCTGACTTCTTCAACCGCTGCAGTCCACATGTTTTAGGTAGATCCACAATGCTATTAGGGAGGGAATTCCAGGATTTTGACCCAGTGAGAATGAAGGAACAGCGATATATTTCCAAGTCAGGATGGTCAGTGGCTTGGAGGGGAACTTGTGTGTTGTGTTGTTCCCATATATCTGCATCCCTTGTCCTTCAAGATGGTAGTGATGGATGGGTTTGGAAGGTGCTGTCTACAGACATTTCTGCATTGCATCTTGTATATGGTATGCATAACTGCTACTGAGCATCGGGGCTGGAGTGAATGATTGTTTATGGATTGTGGTGCCAATCAAGCAGGCTGTTTTGTTTGGATTGTGTCAAGCTTCTTGAGTGTTGTCGGAGATGCGCTCATGGAAGGCAAATGGGAAATGGTATAAGTTCTCTCAAAGCATGGTAAAGCTGGAGCAGCGTCTAATTTATTGGTCCTGGTGGGCTGATAGATGGATGTCCAAGTGAAGTACAGATGTCGTCGATACCAGTGTTCATCAGTGGGTGTGCACTGTCCTCCCCACACTATTTCAGGTGGCAGAGATTGCAAGTTAACAGTTGCCCTGAAAGGGAGAATGGCAAGGTTAGCTCTAATTCCCAGGAACGCAATGGAGCAACGGACATGTAGGTCTTTTACTCTTGGATGAGTCATGCATATAGTAAGTCGTCCTGGCATGCTCCTATATCTTACGGTCTTATGGTCTGTTATCCTGTGCACATCTCTTCATGACTCTGGCATCCATTAAAGAGTCATTCACATTAAATTGCTCCTCCTCAGGCTCATCCAATTGATCCTCAACTAAGGAGTGTTGCTCCTCCCTCTTATTCTGTTACTACCATTTCCTGTCCTTCATCACCAAGTTGTGCAGTGCACAGCACACTATGACTATTTATGATTCCCTCAGGGATCCTCCACATCAGTCAAAGCATTGGAAGCACAATTCCAGCAAGCCAATGGTGTACTCAGTGATGGTACAGTTGGAGTCACAAGCTTCATTGTACCTCTCTTTTGCTGAGCTCTGGGATGCTTCACTGGTGACATCAACCAGATCTCTGAAAGATAGTCAACACAGTGTGGAGCTGGAGGAACGCACCAGATCAAGCAGCATTACAGGAGCAGAAAGTCGACGTTTCAGGTCAGGAGAGATAGACCTTGTCACTCAGAATCCAGCCTGGAGCTTCTGCAGCTCCAGAAGACATGAGTTGTACAAAATGCATACATCATGACAGCTCCTGACAGACCTGCTTGACGTACAGACTAATTGGATGTTTAAAGAGTGAAAGCCTTTGCGATCCATAAATGACACTAACTGGTCCCAGGAAGCTCTACAGGCCACAAGTCAAGTGATGAGTCTTTCAGTCTCAGGAAATGAAAAATGGCCCTGAAGTCTAATGCCCTCGTCACCAAGTGTGTCCACATCAGTGGAGAACCTGATGCTGGAAGACAGTGTGGGTCAACTCTTTTATTGACTTGAGTGCCACATATGCCACTCATTGAGGCGTGGAAACCCTCATTGGCAGAAAATGTTGAGTGCTGCTGTCATCTTGAGGGATGGTATGGAGTTTCCACCAAACCCAGTTGTTATTGACCAGACCAAACCCCCTCAAAATATATTCAGAAGATAGTGTAGACCCCAACTTTTTCTTGAAGGTAAGTGTAAGCTGTTGCATTCCAGATATGATTCAATTGGTCAAATCACTCGATGTTTAATAAAACAGACTTTATTTTTACATTACAGTTAAAATGCAGACAAAATAAAATTAAAAGAAAAGAATCAGCTTAAATGCAATTCTATTGATATGTTAATAAAATAACAGATATATTAACTACTATTAATTAACTGTTCCAATATAGTAACATCCCATTAACACACCTTTGCAAAAGCAAGTTCAGTAAAATTGATTGTCTTGCACGCAATTCTCCAGTCCAGGAAGAAAACAAAAATGAAGAGAGATCTCTGAGACAGAGGCAGTAGCAGAGAGAGATGTACTGCAGCTTCCAAACCCAATTTCAAGACCCCAGCAACTGTTACTGAAAAACTAAAACTAAAAATCCTGGTTCTGTGGGAGCTTAAACCCACCCATTCAGGCTGCTTCTATTGTTCCAACTCTAAAAAAAAACCCAAGGCCTCAAAGCTGTTTACTTTATTGGATTCAAATAGACAATTCTGCACCTCTGTCTTAAAACCTCACTTAAAAAACAAGGACAAAATACACCTCTTAAAGCCATAGTATCTTCACATACATAATTGCAGGTCTGGCTGAACGATTCCACATACTGCGGCGACCTTTTCCCAGGATGACCTCAGTTATCTCTGCCATTGCCTCCAAAATCTGAAGGTAGTTAGCCAGAGTCTTGAGGATGCAGGAAAGTGCCAGTACCCATCTTCTACTCTCTTAAATGTTAACAAAATGAGGGCTAAATAGTCCCCCGTGGGGCCCCATAACAAAAATACAGACTAATGGTTAACAGAAACTTTTACAAGGAACATATCACTCGAAATAATGCTGCCTGGGGTGATGATATACCTCAGCCCCTGTGGTGTCCGATGGTCTCTAAAGGCCTGTACTGTGTCCATGAACACTGCATGATCCCGCTTCATGGACGCCCCCAACATGAATGTAACTGTGAAAGAGGGGCAATCAGTCAGGTACAAAGGCCCCTCCATGGCCCACTGGCTGGATCTGTTAATGGACACTTTGGCCAGACACAGCACCCATCTCCTGAGGTGATGTTCCTAGATGGCTTCATTCTGAACAGTCTCTGGCCTAGCACTTGAACAGTGAAAGCCCTCTCCTATTCCCAAAGTTATAAGAAGATTGGATCTATGAGACACTTGTTATTGTAGCAAATATAACTGTGTGAAAAAGACATGTGGTGATATGAGAACACGTTTGTCCATGGTTTCCATCTTTAGAACTAATGAACAGTGGGTTTGTCAATCTTTCCATTGTTCACACACATATCTTCATTGACTCAGCAGTGCCGTCCTCCCACTTCAATCTGCAATTCTAGGTTCTGCACATACAGTGAATTTGAATAAATAGATTATGTAACCTTCCAAACCTGATCTGCCACTTTCCTTCTGTCATCTTCATGCAAGCCCGCATCAGCTTTGACCTGGCCAACATGTAGTTCATATGCCTGCTGATGGCACTACTCAGAACTTGGTTGTGGCATGAGACTCTCAGGAGAACAGCAGAAGCACTTTACAATGCCATCAAAGTATCCATGATGAGGTCAGACTATCTACCAACTCATAGAAGTCCCAGAGTAGTGGCTAACCAAAATGAAGAAGGATCTTCTAGTAAGTCACTGAACACATTGACAGACTTCATCAGGAACCTGCAGAAGTGAAGTCAAGGCATTGGATGGAGTGCGCAAACCTCCAAAAACCCATCTACCAAACCCTTCAAACACCACCTGCTGCATATAGCACAGTCTACAGATAACAGGTTACACTTATCAGTTATCTCAGAAGCTGTTGAACAGACATAGAAGCAAACCCAAAGCCTAGAAAGGACTGCATAATAATAACACATACTTAGCTGGTCTATAGTACAAAAGTATTCAAGATAGGCATTTGATTACCTTTATCGCCAGTGAGACAATATATCTCTGTTTGGTCCCACCAACAATATGAAGAAAGCCCAAATAGAAACAAAAACAGCTGAAATTGGGACTAAAATTTGAGTTGTGCAATCCATGGTACTAGCATTGCAAATTATTTCGTTGAATGCTGTTTCCACTTATTTTTGGAACAATATCTTGCTTACCTCACTCAGGAAGTCAAGTGTTTTTATATATGCATATTTGGAGTAAGCCAAAACAGGCAGAGCACCTCTGACTGGATCAAGGGCAGCAACACGGAGAGCCTCCTTAATCCGGTAGTGAACAAACTTTTGGACATAACTTGAGGATTTTAGCTTCTCAGGGATGTAGATACTGGGATATAGGCATCGTGATGCCTTCCAGAGCCATGCTAACTGGTTATTTCTAGGGATATCTTCTTCCTTGCAATGACCTGAGTAATTGGGCTGTGCCTTCTTCTTAACATAATTATAGCAGTCTGGATATTTATAAAAGCCCCAGCAAGCCTGTGGTCTCAGAATATGTCCTAGTTTTAGTGTTTTCGTCATAAAATTCTTTGCAGCACCTTCATATTCCTTTTTGGCAATCAGGAGAAGCTCACTTTCAGTTAAGTGGGGGTATTTTCTTTTTGCTAATTCTTCAGAATTTTTCCTGTAGATATCCATTTTACCCCAGTTACGGACCCAAAGTGGTCGCCACTCTTCCCAATCTATTACCACGGAAGACCACGGAAGTTTGGATCCATCAAGTTGGTCATGTTGTCACCTACTACTTGGAGGTGGTTGCACAAACTGGCATTCTGGACAAGGCCACCATTCACTGGAGTGCCCTCAGCGGTATAGAATGGATAAAGCCCCAACTTGATTTTGTAAAATATGGTCATCTTCTTCCCCATAAAGATCTCATTTTCATTTGCAACAATATCAAAAGCATTCAGCTTCAAATCAACATTAAATTTAGATTTGCAGCGTGCAGTAGGTGTGTTCCAAATCACAGTAAATGGCTTATTGTAGATCATTGGTGAGGCCGATACTGGCTTAACTCCTTTTGCCCAGATGGGAAGATAGATATGGAGATAAAATAAGGTGCATGTAAGTAGTGAAAGATCTGGTAACATGATTCTGCCTCTCTCTTCAGCAGCTAGTCAAGCTTTCTCAATTAGATTGTTCTGTAAGATTCAAACCAAAAAGATTAATTTGGAAACAAAAGAAATTCCATACCAAATAATTAACCACTTTAGATCCATTGTATAATAGTCAGATCTACAACAGTCTGAGGATTGATCCCTATTCTATACCACATTATCTCAGCTAGAATAGCATTCGTGGTGCTATACATGACCTAACCTAGGATTTTTAAAAAGTGCATGCACAGGATATGGTCATCGCTGGCTGAGCCAGCATTTATTGCCTGACCCTAGTTGCCCTTGAGAAAGTGGTGGCAAGCTATCTTCTTAAACCACGGCAATCCATTTAATGTGAATAGACCGACAATGGTGTTCAAGAGGGAATCCCAGGATTTTGACCTGGTGACACTGAGGAATGGCGATATAGTTCCAAGTATGGGTTCTGAGTGCTTTGAGGGGGCAATTGCTGTTGGTGGCGTACCCATGTATCTGGTCCTTCTGCATGGTAGTGGTTGTGGACTTGGATGGTGTTGTGGAAAAAGCATTGGTGAATTTCTGCAATGCAGCTTTGATATAGTACTTACTACTGTTCCTGATTGATGTGGTGGAGGGACTGAATGTTTGTGGATGTGATGCCATCAAGTGGGCTGCTCTGTGTTGTTGGAGCTGCACTCATCCAGGCAAGTGGGGAGAATCCATCAGACTCCTGACTTGTGAGGATAATGGACAGGCTTTGGGGAGTTGGGAGGTGAGTCACTCGCTGCAAGATTCTTAACCTATACCTGCTTTTTTACCCACAGTACTTATTGACGAGTCATGTTTAGTTTTTGAATAGTGATAACCCCCAGAATGTTGATAGTGGAGGAAATCAGTGACGATGATGGCATTGAATGTCAAGGGGTAAGGAGACCAAAACTACCACACAATACTCCAGATGCAGTCTAAACACTGCAATAAGATGTTGTGACTTCTGAACTCAAATCCTTTTACAATGAAGGCCAACTATTTTTCTTCCTAATGTTTGCTGCACCCCACCTACTTTCATTGACTGGTGTGCAAGAACTCCAGGTTCCCTTGCACATCCACATTTCCCAATATATTACCATTCAAATATTAGTCCGCCTTTCTGTTTTCACACCAAAGTGTATAACTTCACATTTATCCACATTATAGTGCGGACGATCGTCTCATCCTACCACTAATTGAGACCCTGAGGTTAAAAATGAATGCCCACTTAAGGGCCTTATCCATAACCACTGTTATTCACTCAGTGGTGGGACAGGAACTCGCCACATGGGAAACCCATAAAGCAAACCCTGTTGTGGCTCAAAGTGGAGGTCTCTCATTCAAAAAACACTTAGTCCCTGATCAAGGGACTGCATCGATTGTTAGAAGTTCAAAATATTACACAGCAGTTGCACAAAAATAACCTACAGCTCATGCCACACAGCAATATTATTTACTCCATTTCATTTATTTAATAGAGGATAGATCATTTTGTTTCCCTAAAGGAGGATACACATTTGACAGCGAATGTCACTTTCAGGGCTGGAAATCAGCTGCAGAAGAATTTTCTGTTGTTAGTAATGACAGAGTAACATTAATTTGCATTATTTATCCTCCGACACTGGACCTTAGTAAGTCCTGTATACATAAAATGAACAGCTTTGTTAGGACTGATGGAGCTCAATTTCGGAAGTCAAATAGCTCACAATATGGTTTATAACTGATGGTGATGTGAACAACACATTCTCCCTTCCCCCAACAAGTTTTGCTGAGACATGTTTTCCTGGCAGCTGGTCTCTTTAAACGGTCATAAAGACACCATAACGATGCAACAATGATTTTCCGCCCTTTCTCTTTGAATGCTTTGTTTGATTTTTTGCTGAGAGCAAGAAATTGATGGCACTCAGTTTACTTCCACACAGTGAAAGCACTGTTTCTGTGTCAACTCATTCAGAATCTTCTACAATTTTAAAAACTTCTTTAAATTTACCCCTCAGCTTTCATCTTCCAAGGAAAAAGAAACTTATTCTACACATCCTTTCCTGTTTGGTATAATATTATATTTCTGTAATCTTTGTAATCCTTGTTTTTTTTTAATATTCTCATTCCCAAAACAGTTACTTTATAATGTGGTGACCAGAACTGTACATAGTTCAGAGCAGGTGTGCACTAAAGAATGTTCGATACATATTAATACAACAATTATTTTTCAATTCTATCCCTCTGGAAGTAAACTTTGGTGTTTGGCTTTCATGTTTATGAAATTATTTTAGTGGCTTGTGCAGTTGTACTCCCATATCTCTTTTTGCTCCTCTACCCCATTTAGATTCTTATTTCCCAAGTAATATCTGACATTCATATCTTCGTAGGGCCACACACTCCTCCTTCTGCCACTCTCTGTATTCACTCTTTACGCCTGCTTTCAGTCTTGAAACCAGGTAGTTACCAATTCTCTACTTCTGCCCATTTAAAATTTCACTCCCTTTACCACTGATGCACAGTGAGAGCTCGGTAAACTGTACACTACATGCTTTGTAGAACCTATCAAATCTCCTTCGATGCAACTTTCAAACCTACAATCTGATCATTGGGAAGGACATGGACACCTGAGCACCATATAGACATGCCCTTGCAAGTCATGCACCATCTTAACAAAATTGCCATTCCCTCATTATTGGTGGGTCAAAATCTTGGAACTCACTTCCTAACTTCCTAAACCTCCCTTCCTATACCCCGATCGTGGGTATACTCACACACATGGACTGCAGTGATTCAAGAACGTAGCTCACCACCACCTTCTCAAGGGCAATTAGATTTGCGCAATAAATGCTGGCCTTCCCAGTGAGGCTTGTTTCATGGAACAATGAAGAAAACTTGTTCCCAGACTCAGCATGCCTTAATTGTAAATATATTGTACAAAACTTTATTGGAGGCTTTCTGGAAGTCAGCTTCCAACCCATCAACCATCGATAAAGATAAGGGCAGTCGATGCATAGGAACACTGAATACTTGCCTCTCCAAACCACAAAACATTCTGACTTGGAACTATAATCGCTGCTCTTTCGCTGTTGCTGGATCAAAATCCCTAATGGCTCACCAATTAGGGATGGAAAACAAATGCTGGCATTCTCACCAAAGCCCAAGTCCCAGGAAAGAATAAAACACATTGGTTAATTTTCTGACCCACATCTTTAAGTATCACTTTTCTGCAGCCTGTTAATACACCTTCTTTAATGGTACTCTGACGAAAAACAATTGCTGATTCTTGTTGCAGATGAGCCAAATGACTTTTCTTTCATTTACTGTTAATAAGTAATCTGATTATATTAAGAACCCAAAAATAACTGATTCATTAAATCTATTGTTTTAGACAGACCTAACAAAATGTCATTAAATTTTGTAAAAAGATTGAGCATCAAAAGTGTTTCACATGCAGCTAACATGCACCTACTTACTCACTGCTGCCAATGTTGGTGCTTCTGTGTTTCCCTGGTAGAAAGACTGGAAGAAAGAACAAGTTTACATTTATATATTGCCTCATATCATCCCGAGGATGTCCCAAGGCACTTTGAAGCCAATGTCTGCTTTATTTTGGGAAACCTGTTGATCCTTGCAGGACAGTTGACGTCAGAGTGGCTTTGTTGTTCTACACCATTGAACACCAATAGGTTCACACTTACATTTTGAGATAACTGTTTTCACGAGCTGATGGATCTCCTGCTTTATGTTGGATCTTAAAACCCACTTCTTGACAAAACCTTTAGTCATCTGCCTTTATATTTCTTTCTTTACCACTATGTAGATTAATTTGTCTGTTCTGTGAAGTTGCCTTGTGATGTTTTACCATATGAAGAGTAGAAGAGTATTGATAGCATTTGTAATCAACAGCTATACAATGTGGTAGAGCTGATGAAAATCACTTAAAAAGTAAAAATACTGACGCATGAAAGGCAGGTTAAGTAAACTGAGGCTCATGAAATAGTCTTGGTGTCAAGTTCATTAAAATTTGTTAAGGACAGAAAATAGAAATTCATGATGAACAGCTGTTTTACAAAACAGAAAATGGTAGACAGAGGCATTCTTCATGGTTTAGTGGTAGGACTATTATTCAGATTTATAAAATATTTATACAAAATATCTATACATATGACGGCCTACTCCTGCTCCTCGTTCTTATGTTCTTATTACCTCTTCCCATTCCTTCCCCCAAAATACAACACCTCAAACCTCCCTTTATTAAATTTCATGTAACAGCAGTGTGAGGTGTTGCAGATTGGGAGAAGGGATGGAAAGAGACAATATGGACTTCATAACAGTTTTAAAGATTGCGTAGAAACAGAGGGACCTTGGGATATGTATCCACAAGTCATTAAAAGAGGAAGGACATATTGAGTGGTTAGCAAAAACAGTTGGGGTCTCAGGCTTAATAACTAAAAGCAGGAAGTTAGGATGAAACTTCAGAAGGCTTTGCTTTGGTTATCAGAGAATTGTGTCCAGTTATGGTCAGTACTTCAGGAAAGATCTGATGGGTTTTTGTCAGAGGAGATTTACCAGAATGCTTCAAGTGATGAGGAAATTTAGCTACAAGATGACGTTGGAGAAGCTGATGATTTTTCTATAGAACAAAAGAAATTGAAGGGGGATTTGATGGAGATGTTTTAGATTATGAAAGTTTACATCAGGCAACGCAAAGCTGTTACCATTAACTGATAGCACAAGTATAAAGGGATAGAGAGTCAAAGTTTAATGCTGGAAGTGGAGACCATCAACAATTTTGATAGGAAATTGGGCACTTTGGGAAAATTAATGCAAGACCAGGAGAATAGGGAGGAATGGGACAGTTTGAATTGTTCTACAGGGTGCCAGTATGGACCCAATGGGCTGAATGGCTTCTTCCTGTGCTGTAATGATGTTACAACTGTATGAATTCTAACATATATGTATATATACATTTATCTTGCTCCAGTACTGAAAGGCTGTGTAACACTGTTTCTAGGCAGGCA